TGTAATGTGTGGCTTTCCATGCTGTGTATAGTCTCCTTGCTTCTGCAGGTGTGCATCAGCCCTTGAAGGGAACACAGAAGAAGACATGAGCAGATGGGCATGTTGTGACCCATGGAGTTCTCCATGCATTTCCCTAGAGAGCCAGCTGAGAGCCTGGAATAGTTTAAAAAACTGTCTTTCAGGTAATGCAGTTACTCGTCACACTATGTGGTTTGTCAGGCAGCTTTCCCAGAGGCAGCTGTCCCTGTGCCCTCCCAGGGCCTGCCCGTGCCCGGCACGCTGTGTTCTCAGAGCACAACAGTCACAGGCTGCTCCAGAGCTCACGGAGCTGCTCACCAGCTGCCTGTCCTCTGCAGATATGTCCACGATGTTAGAAGGAAACCTGTCTGCTCGCCAGAATGTTTATCCTGTAGCTCTCATCAACTATATGACCAGCTGAGCAGTGGAACTTATCTATTGAAGAAGTCAAAGTACTTCAGTCGGTGGTGTTCTGGGGTGATTTAGTCTTGTGTTTGTTGTTTGCATGCTAGGCAGTGTGTGAGATAATCCAAAGCTTGGTTAGACTATTGCTCTTTGTTTCCTGTGCCATGAAGGTGCTTGCACTGATTTGGTTGTCTGGGTCCTGCTCTATGTACTTAAATAGCTTCAGATCCAAAGTCTGGTTGGATCCCTTGGTGTTTACATGGAGCTGTGACAAGAATGCAAGGCATATGTAGGCTAAAGGGAAGGTCAGCAGCCCTTATGTAGGAAGTAGGGGAGAAAATGGGCAAGAATTGATGTGATTTGGAAAAGACATATATCATTGTTCTCAATTGTTCTCTTTTAAATTCTAAAACAGTGTAAAATTAAAAGGTTGTTGCTTCTTTTGTTTTTATTGAGTATATGATTAACAATGACATCTCTCCTGAAAGAAAAGGAGAATTCCTAATTCTCCTTTAGAGATCTCCTAATAGAGATTCCTTCTCTAGCTGTTAACTAGACGTTGTTAAGCAGGTGTTCAAAAATATTAAAACAGCCTGCCTTAAATTCTGTTCCCCTTTTGATCACTTAGCTGCCAGTGTTTTGCAGTGTCCTCGTCTTTTATTTCTGCCTTTGCTATCTTGGACATGTGTGGGAATTGTGACTTATTCAGATTTATTTTTGTCATTACCTTATAGTTTTCTTTAAGACTGGAAAAAAAGGTATTGTAATTCTTAAGCAGTCTGTTTCTCTGAAAAAATCAGAATTTGGGCTCATTCTCAGTGCTCGCTGACACACATAAAGCAGGCAGTTCAGTAATCAGTGTGTTCAGGAAGTACAGAGGGAATAACTGAACAGCTACAGCAGAAAAATAGTGATGAACTGTAAAATATGTACCTTGTGCAGAGTTTATCCATGTAGGGGAAGTTCCTAAAGGTGTGGGATTTTTTCTTCCTTGTAGGGAAGGAAGGGGAAGAGCATGTGGACTACACAGTTGTTGATTGCTTTCAGCAGAAGTTTGGCTCAGCAGTAAGTATAAAATGTTCTATGAAGCATGTTGACTTCTAACCCTCTTCCGTTTGTCAGAAGATTTGTTAGAAGGTTCAAGATTGTGAGAGCTGCTTGTCTTGTCTTGGAAAAATGAAAACACTTTTGCAGAGTGCAGTGAAACTTGCATCAGTTTGTGATGGTGGCTCTTTTGGAAATCAGTATCAACTCTGAACTGGGAGGAACGGTTTGTATTACTGGTTAGTGAATTATTTATTTACTGAAGAAAACATCAGAGTTCAATGTTTAGAGAGGGAGCCAACTGCACTGTTTTTGCAGGTGTTTTCAACTCCAGAAATGCATGTAGGTTAGCTTTGCTCTTAAATCATGATAGTAGTATCAGCGAACATGGGGAAGACTGTTCTGGAACTCAGAACTGATGGTAGATTTATTATTAGACCTAATAGTATTATTTGGTTATGAATTAAACCATCGATCCTTTGTGCCCTCTGTGCCACTTGGTTTTGCAGTAACACCTATAAGTCTCTAGCATTGTTTTTGTCTCTATTTAGGTGCTGCATCTAAAACAGCAGTCCGTTGTCAGTGTAGTAGCAGAAGGTGTTCATCTGTGCCGTCATGGAAGACTTGCGTGGCTTCAGGTAAGAGGCCACATGGCCCTTTTTCCAAGATGTAGCGCTAAAGAGTTGTAATTGGAAAATATTTGGGGTGTAGCTTGCATTTAAGATTTACTGGCAAAACTATTTTGATGAGAGATGTGATTTTTCTTCATGACAAATAGGGTATTTCATAAATGGCGTATTATAGAAAGAATGATACTAGTTTAGGGCATCCAATTCAACTCATTCATACATTTTTAGTTCATTTAACATATGCATAAAGAAATACAACTTTGCCTTCTGTATGTACACAGTTAGGTGCTTTGTTAGTATAGGTGATTTTAAAACTGCAAAACTGTCATGGTATTAGTATAACTAAAGGAGTAAAAATCATTTTAAGATGCAATATCTTGACAGTGAATTACCACTATCTGAAAATGATAGAGAGAATGAAGGACAGTGTAAATTATTGGTTAGAAATGATCTATTTTTAAATAGATCAAAAAGCAAGCGTGTTTAATATTGAGCAAACACTAATTCAAATTTGAAACTCTATACAGAAATAATTGTCTGTTAAATTCTTGTTATGCCTAAATTCTTTATTAATAAAACAACTTTAGTTACTCTATTACAAATTAGAATTTTATATCCTGTCCCACATGCTAGGATAGAAAATGTTCTATAATTCTTCTGTAGTAGTTTTTGATAATGATAGGAATGTCAGGGCCATTCCTATCAATTTTCTTGAATGGGTTTTTTAAAAATAAATTCTTACATCTATCATAGGGACATTTGATTAAAGTATTGTGGATAAGATTGATATCTCAATGTCCTGTTTATACTTTAGAAGCCAGATGTGATTTTTCTTTATTATTATTAATAATAATTTTGAAAAGCAAGATTTTTAATGGGTTACTAAGGAAACTGAAGTGCACTCCTCAATATAAGTGTATACGTGTGTGATTATGCTAGCACTCTTACTTTCAAATCCTTATTTTTCCCTCCCTCCCTCATGTTTTCTGCAACTGAATTTATTTTAGATAGCAACAAAGAGCCAGATTTTCCTGTTTGATATTTTCCTTCTGGGACCTCAGGCTTTCAAAAATGGATTACAAATGGTGCTAGAAGATAGAAACATTTTGAAGGTAAAGGTAGAGAGTGCGTGGGCGGAGGTTACCTATGTGTGTTACGATCCGGCTGCACCAAGAAAGTTGCATTTGGACCCAGTCTGACAGCTTTTTTGCTTCAGGTCATACACGACTGTCGCTGGATCTCAGACTGCCTCTCTCACCAGTATGGAGTCCTTCTCTCCAATGTCTTTGATACACAGGTACTCTCCAGGTATTGTGATTAGGAACACAAGTTTCAGCAGGCATCTGCAGCCTTGTACAGGACATCATCTCAAAAAAGATTTACCAGTGCACCAGTGACCGTTATCGAACACTGTATATGTAGCATTTGTATTCTAACTAAAAAATAATTGTTAGGCAAGGCTCACAGTGTTAATTAGAAATTGTCCTTTGTAGACTAGAGAACATTAAATGTAGTTATTCATAGAAGGAGGTGTTTCATCTTAGTCGAAGTGGAAAATAACTGGATGTTTTCAAGTCCTCATGTTAGAAGTTTATTATTACCTAATATTATCAAGAAGCTTAGTATTTTTAAAAATATGATAATAAGTCTTGGTCAGACTTGGTACAACCTGAGGCTATTGTGACTTGCACATGAGCCAAGTAGACGTGTGCTTTCTGTCCCTTGTAACCCTTTCTGTCACTTTCGCAAGTGTAGAAACAGGGTTTTCAGCACTGGTGAGTATCTGTTCATTCATGCAGTGGTAGAAGTGAAAAATGACAGGTAACCATGAAAACTTTTGCTTCTGCTGGTGCTGGCCCTGGTAGCTGTCTTACTCAAGAAGATGCATGATTAGTAGGAGCTTAGAGGCTTTCCAGGGAGAGAAAAATAACCTGATGGCTATGACCTTTCAGAGTAGGCATGGGTGTATTATGCTTAGTCACATGTGACTTGTTCTTGTCAGTACTCTGACTTTTAATACTATAGACACGACTGTAGTCATAGCATGAAAGACTCTTCAGAGTTTAGTCTGGCATCAGCTTTTTGCAGCAAGGGTTTCTTTGTCCTTCCCCTATCCTAGACTGGCCTTCTGCCCATAAAAATTACTATACTGTTATTCCATAACAGGTGGTTATCACTGTCAAGTCTCTAGTGTTTGCAGGAAATTTGAGAGAAAGTTCCTACCAGTTCTGCCAACTGTATTGACTAGTTAGAGGGAAGAGCACCAGGATGTGTAACTGATGCAGCAGAAATAACGGTGAAAACTATCTATGCTAGGGCCTGAGCTTGCACACAGCTGCAGTAGTTGCTCTCTTTTAGTATGAACTGGCATGCACCCTTTGCTTTCACTGATTAATTCTCGAGTTAGATGCAATTGCTCTGATTCCTGATTAACCTGAATATTCCTGAATAATTGGCCTGGATCAGCAGTAATCCTACTGCTAATATACCTTAACTGCTGGAACAATTGGGTTGAGTGCACTACAGTATATCTGATATTGAGGAATCAACCTGTCTCATCTGCTCTGTACAGCTAGGGTCAATAACTGGGGAACACCAGTGAGCAAACTCATAGCTCCTTTTTGTGAAAGCACTTCTGTTGCAATTTGCTAGCACTTCTTGGAGATAGCTTTTCAGGCTTGTTAAAATTGGAGCAGGCCGTGTGCACTTACACAAGCATCTGCACAAGTGAGACTTGGTGAGTTTAAAAAGAGTGATTTGTTTACTACCACACAAAACGATAGGTATTTTTCTAGAGATATATGCTGAAAGCATAAAAGGAAACTTGCCCAAAACTTAGCTTGAGGCTGTCCATAAGACAGATTAATGCAAGGTTTATCACAAAATGAACAAGCAAATGCCTAATTTACTCTTCTGTGTGTATTAACAATATATTTTACTTTTTACTTCTTTTCCCCACTATCAAATCTCCACATTCTCTCTTGTGGCTTAACGGATGTGCTCGCAGGTTGCTGATGTCCTGCAGTTTTCAATGGCAACGGGTGGCTTTCTTCCACACTGCATCTGCACCTTACAGGAGTGTTTGATGCAGCACTTAGCCATATCTTCCAGATCAGCTGCCCTCATGAAGGGCAGGGAGCAGATGGCTTGGGTGAGTCATTCAGTGAGACCCTTTCTGAAGATTCAACTGATTTGTGATTTGCCCCCTTCAGATATGTTTTTACAGACATGCAGGTATGTAAGAACTTGGTGCTACTCGGTGGTCAAATTGTTGTAGTTGAGGATGTTTTGTTACACAAACAGGGAGACAGAAGCTTTAGCTGGCATGAGTTCTTAAGCTAGTATTTCCTAATAGTTCACTGGACATGGAGTTAAGAGCCACGAAGCTGTTATAACAGAGGACATGTCCAACTAGGGTAAAAAGCATTCTGGGTATCTCTGGTATATATGAGTGATACTGAAACCTGGTGCTAGCAAAACAAGTTGGCTAAAACAACCCTGAATCAAGTAGGGAGTGATGTGTTCTGTGGGGTTTTTTTGTTTTTGTTTTGTGGTGTGTGTGTTGTAGTTTTGGGGTGCGTGTGGCTTTTTTTTTTTTTTTTATTTTTATTTGGCATGTCACTGCTTTCTATTGTCCTTGTTTTTGTCACTTTCGTATGGGTAGAAGCAAGGGAAAACTTGCAGGACCAAAGGCTCCCAAGATCTGGGGAATGTAAATTTGCATGTAACAATGTTATATTAAACATGATAAAGTAAACAGCATATACATATGCTAAGCATGGCATCTTTTGCTGATATTTTAATCACTTTTCTCTGTTGACGGGGAAGAGTATTTCCAAAGAAGCCGTGGGGACAAATATGTGATCTAGACATGATGAAACCCCACCGTATAGGCAAGACTTCTTTACCTAGTTAAAAAATCCTTCCTTTGATTGGTGTTTTTATTTCCTTCATACTGGTCTTTCCTGTAACTTCCAAATAAATTTGAGTATTTTGCACTGTCTAGGGTGTATTTTATCTGACTTGAAAATCTTTCTTGATAGCCCAGGTTAAATGTTATTTGATAGTGGTACAGTGTCTTCGGGGCAGTTGTTCTTACAATGATAGTTGCACAAGCGAAATCCATAAAATAGGTGCTGCTGCACTTTATGTAGGCTTCTGAATCCTAGTAGTGTCCCAAGCTTTCAATTTAGAGAATCCTGTATAACAAATCCAAGACAAATAGCACATTTGTCTTCCATAGTTCACTTTCTCAAACTATTCTACTGGTTTGCAGGCTAAAAACAGAAAATGGCTAGTTCTGTATGTAGTAAGTATTCCAGTATAAGCCACTTCTTATTGATAGTTTTGCCCACAGTATCATGGTCATGCTCCTTAACTGGGACTTATTTACATGTTTTGCTGGTTGCAGTTGTGTGGGCTGAACATACTGCTGTCCTCAGCTGCTTCCTCTGCTTCTGTGGGGGATTTTGTCTTCCTACATCTTCCAGTTCAGCATTTCTAAGGAATCCAACTAAGAGATCCAGACAAAATGAGATGCGTGAGAATCTGCGATTAAATATTGGAATAATAAACAACAAAAAGAAGCAATCTACCTTCCCAGCCTTCCTTTCCTAACAACCACAGACTTATACATAGATGGCTTTAGAAGCTGCAAAATTCAGTAGCACCGAAAATAAAGACCAGCATCTGTAAATAGTCTGAGGGGGAAAAGTATGGTGAAAAGTTTGTTGTTTTTTAATCAGAATGCTTACTTAATTGTTTTAATTTGCATTGGGATGCACAGGAGAATCCTGATATATGGTTCCTGAGGCCCTGTCCACCTTCTCTGCTTAAAACACTTGCTCTCAAGGCCATGTACCTTCTGCAACTTCGCTCATCTCTGATGGATAAGTTGATGTCTGACCTAACAGCCGTGGTGGATGATTACATTAATGCTTTTCGGGACAAGTCAGGAGATTGCCTTGGAAGCACAAAGGTAGGCATGTTCGCTTGTTTCTCGGTGCAGTGATATGACCTCATACTCTGGATGAAGTCTGGAGAACCCATCTATAGGAGCTTCCTCCTTTGTAACTGTCCCCGTTTCATGCCACGTACTCCTGAGGCTGTGTGCAGCAGCAGAGGCCATAGTGTGTATATCTGCATAACTGCAGTCCAGCTTGCTCTTGTGCTCACAAACCTACCCCAGGCTAATTCTGTGGTTGTGAAGCTGCAGCTTTTGAGGCATGTACCTTCTGTTGGCCCTGATTTGAGAACCTCTTGGAACAGCAGGGGCTGTTTGAGAGGCTATGGAGAGGGGCAGGCACTGTAAATTGTTAATATCTGAAGCTGATGGAAATTTGCTTTTGAGCTCCTAGGCCCCAAAATACTTTTTTAAATCTTGTGATTTTTAGTGATGTTGTATGTTAACTGTTTCTGAGAAATACATTGTCTTTTGCTGAGCACCTCTAGAGCACTCTAAAGCACCTCTAGAGTGATTACATCTTCCTAACTTGTTTTCTCATGAGTTACCTCAAAAAAACAAACAAAAAACTCTTGGTTACATAGAACCAATAGTCGTATCTCACAAATACATATCCAGATGTTTTGGAGTAGCTGTTGTGTGGTAAATGCTGTTGTCCATTTTTGAGGGATGGTATTTTTAGTAAAGGAACTTGACTTCCTGCCCTGAGGGAAATAACAGTTTCATGCTAACCAGGACAGGCAGTGGTTGGTCTTTTTCTGTCTCCTGTTCGGTGAAGAAATTTAGCAGGGTGTTGTAATAACTTAAGTGTCGCTAGCATTAAAATCGCATGGAAGGTGGATGATCAGACATGTTCATTCACTATGATGAGAATGAAGAAATTTTGCTTGGATTATGTCACTGCTTCATGTTTATGCAATTGCAAATATACTGAAATGTTTTAGACTTGTTCACTTCTGTTTTAAAGAAAAGCTATTTCTCTGCCTCAGTTTGACCAAGTATTAAAGCACAGAGTGAAACCTGTGGGAATTGCTCACTGGCAGTAAATCACAGCATTGAGGATTTAAGAGGAGATTAATTTAGATAACCACAAGAGGTCATTGCTGCTTCACAGATGGAAGGGAAAACCTTTTCAGTTAAAAGGAGAGCTGCCAAGAAAGAAGATTGGCAATTCAGATGTCAGGCTCATTTTCCCCCCACAGACTATGAATAACAATGTAAAATGTATGCAAAAGTAGAGGAAACAAGGGAAGAGGGCAGTGTTAAAGTAGAATACAAGTAATTCTGCCTTGCAGTAAACCATTTGTTTGTAAAAGACTTTTTTAAAGTGATCTGAGGTTAATAGTTGCTGAAGCCAATCCTTGTGCAAATCTACTTACTCTGTAAGATTAGCCAGGGAATTAATCTGACCCTGAATGTTTCCAAAGTGACTGACCTCTGCCACTCCAGGTAAGGAGAAGCCTCTTCGAGGCTTCCACTTTGTTTTTGGATTGTATTCTCTGCTCAGAACAGCAGGTTTCAGCCCTTCATCAAGGGGAAGCTCAGTTCTGTGGAGGTGTTGTGGGCTCTGCTGCTGGCTTGCAGAGCTGCCTGAGCTCTTGATACCCCATTCGAACAATAAGCAGCATGAGGCTTCCCAGGCCTGCCCTGGCGCTGCCTCCTGTGGCCCTTGCTGATGTTAGTGAGTGACATCGTGTTGCACAGCGATGCGCGCTCTTCCTTTTCCCTTTCTTCCAACTTTGGAGGAAATTATGGAAGCTTATGGCACTCCTGTGTAAACCATTCTTGTAAGACAAGTACACAGATAGTTTCCCTCATGTGATTCCATGAAAATGAAGTGCAGAAGCTAGGTGAAATACACATGCGTACTCCTTCTCACCTTCGAGTATCACATGTTGAACCTCAGCTGCTGGGCCAGGGGCTACAACATTGATCTTCAACTTAGACTAGCACAGGACCATCCTCCTCTTCTTTGTTGGGTTGCTGCCCTATCTAAAGTTCATCATGTGAACGGCTATTGTATGCAGCGATCGCATCAAGATATACTTGGTGAAAATGATGCTTTGGCTGGCCTGCTATGGTGGAAACAGTGTCATCTTTCATTGCACAGTGCTGAGCAATGACTGTTAATGACCAATAATGTGGAACGACTTACCTACTCCTTTGGAGTTGCCTGCTTCCTTCTGTCTAATTGTGGGTTTCTGCCTCCAGGAGCAGATCTGCCCAGTCCTAATGCTACTCATATTTTCAGAAATAGGAGCAAGGAAAAGTGAATGTGCACAGTTGTGGAAGAAGAGCCAAGTGTGCTCAGTTGCCCTTATGGACTTCATAGGCACCAGCATCCAATAAGAGCTGCAGAAAGACAGGTGTGAAGAAGGATGACGAATGTAACTGTCACCAGCCTCCCTCCGGTTCTGTCTGCCCAGGCTCGGCAGTTTGTCTTCCAATGCAAATAGCACTTTTGGCTCAATGCAGAGCCCCTGCTGGGGTTCAAAGTATTGCAGTGGCCTTGGGTCGTACTCTGGAGCCCCGGTTTCAGACTTCTACCTAGTTTTATGTACCTATAGTTTTGTCTTTTTTCCCTGGGGAAGGAAAAAAAGCATGAGTATTGATGGGGCAAGGGATTTTTTTTTTTCTTATTTCAACAAAGCTTGCACTTTTCTTTCCCTTTAAGGCAAGCTTTTATAAATAATTTGAGGGATGTAAAATCCTGAGCTATCAGAGGCTGTAGTAGGCTGGTAGAAATGAAGATGGATTAACAGTTTTCACAGCAATAAACTCGGGGCAGCAATCCAGTGTTTTGTGCAAATGGTATGTTAGAGCATATTTGAACTGCATATACTAAACTTCCGATTTTTGTAAATTATGTATGACACCTTCCTTTGCAAGTGTAACACCTGGTGGTAATACCTGCAAGTTACCTAACCAGGTCCTTGAAAATGCAGCTGCATTTGAATGTGTACAACTTGGATTCAAAGTGAAAGTGGCTTGGGAACTTTTCAGTGTAAAGGAGCAAATCTTCTCTTAGAAATGCAGTATTTTCTGGTTAAAGTGATGACAAGCAGATCTGTGGTACCATAGGGGAGCTTCTCATCAGCAGCACCCTGTGCAGCAGAGTGACCTACCTGGCTGCAGCAGTCAAGCTGCACTGCAGTCTGGGGTACCAGCTTCATGCTCATAGCGTGCGATGGCATACATTCTTTTTTATGGCTAAATGATTGCATGCCTGAGACCAATTATTCAAATTGGCAAGTGATTTGGTGCAGCGCATAATGCCTATTGATCGATATGAAGGAACATAAACGCAACTAAGCTTTAGGTGGTTTAGGACACTGTTTACCTCTCACTATAGGATATACTATGGCAATTAGGAAGCTAAATGTAAATTCTCCTGGTTAAACAGGACTGAAAGCAAGATATTTTCAAGTAAGTTCTTCCTTGTGTGTAGTTTTCCCCCTTCCTGCTCCGGTAATCCTCTGATAAGCACTTAAAGAAGCTTCAGGGTAAGATACAGGAAGCTATAAGCTGGTAAGTCAGATGTGTGAATGGGTATAGTGGTAGAAACACTAAAAACAGAATTAGTGAAAAATACAGACATGATGTCCTGAGGAAGTTATCATGGCTTTCATAAAGTTTATTCATGGTGAACATAAGAAAAAAATATGCGAGTTTTGTACTATTTTCCTGTGCCCACTTTATATTCCAGCCATCAGCTGGCCCTTCAGGTTGGCTGACATTTTCTATTTCTATTGTTTGAAAAAATGTGAGGGTTTTTTTTTTGTTTGTTTTGTTTTAATGATACTTAATACACTCTTCCCATATTTGCACTCCTGCAAATCTCCTTTTGCCCTTTCTGGTATTCTTTGCTGGTAAGCAATGCTTACTCTGTTGTGAAGATATTGCCTAGAACTTGTATCCATTCTACCTGTTTAGGGTTTAATTAACAGTTGCCTGGCTGTTTTGCTATTTTTTTATTATTATTTATAAGCTATTCCCCTTACTACAGCTGAATGCAACTGTTCCTACAGTTCCTAGAAAGGCAGTGAGCAATGTGGTCCTTTCTACAAAGCAAATTCTTGAATATAATATTTTGAACAGTCCCCCACGCTGCTCAGGTGCATTTCACCTTTCATGGAGCAGCTGTGCCATGGATTTAGCTAGATAACTGACTTTTCCCACATAAGGGATTTTTTAGCCATGGCATAGAAGTAATGTGGCTTAAGAGAAAAATCAGAAGAGCTTTGTCTTTGCAGTTGCTCCTACAAGGAAATATGAACTGCTTATCCCTCTTGTAGGGTGATGCTGCAACAAATTCGTAGTGCAAAAGGTCTTTTGGGAGAAACCTAAACCGTATATGCAAAGCGTTACTTAACTCTTAAAGATCTTAATTATGAACAGGCAAACAAGAAATGTAAGTTTATCTTTCACTTTGGGTTGCCTTTAAGATGAAGTGTGTGTGTTGTGGGGGGACCTTTTCCTCTTCGAGAGCGCATGAATAAGCAGTATTCCACAGATCAAGTGGAGAATTGCAGGCAGGTCTTTATTTTGTTCCACATGTTAATTGCAGAGGGAATTTTTATCTGGTACCAATAAATGCAGAATATGTGTAAGTCTTATTTTGATTTCTCTTCTTTCTCCTTATTAGCCCACTTGCATGGAGCTGCCAGAGGAGCTGCTTCAGCTGACAGACTTACAGAGGCTACGGAGGAAGAAAGCAATGGAAGACTACAAGATAAACAAGAATGGTCTTTTGATCAGACCAGCCATGAAACTAGAAGAGAAAAAAGATGCACAGAAGGATGGAAGCCACAAAGATGATAGGGACTACTTTCTCACAAAGAGAGAGCCATCTCAAACTACATCCTTCTATGATCTGGATCGATTTTGTCAAGGAAAACATGAAAATCAAAATCACAATGGTAAATTTGAGAACCTTGACTCAACGTTCTTTTGATCAGACCAGCCATGAAACTAGAAGAGAAAAAAGATGCACAGAAGGATGGAAGCCACAAAGATGATAGGGACTACTTTCTCACAAAGAGAGAGCCATCTCAAACTACATCCTTCTATGATCTGGATCGATTTTGTCAAGGAAAACATGAAAATCAAAATCACAATGGTAAATTTGAGAACCTTGACTCAACGTCAGATTTGTAAAAAAAAAAAAAAAAAAAAAAAAAAAAAAAAAAAAAAACACACACACTGATGAAGGTGACATGCTGAGTGCAGATTGTGTGTCTTACAGCACCCAAGTGAATGAAAAGGTCTATACAGCCCATGCAGAAGCCTCAGACCAAAGCTCCTGTTCATACAAGGACATATAAACCTATTGTTGAGGAGGAATAATTTTAGTGTCTGTAATTCTAAACCAATTCTTGCTGTGTCTGGCTTTTCAAGATTTGTTTCAGGTTTAGAGTCTACACTTTCTGTCTAGCCGTGTTGCCAAGGCTTGGAGAGCACTGCCTCGTAGCAGAAGCAATTACTGAAGGCGTCTTCCCAATTCCACTAAAAAAATAGTGAAGATGCCTCAGCATTTAGCTCAGTTTCTCCTGTCTTCTGCTGTCAGGTGCCTGTACCAGTTCATCCAAGCAAATTAGAGGGTTTTTTGGTATTAAAATGAGGACTTTATTTTTTTCTGCTACTGTTATCAGACCAGCATCTGAAGTGTATTGGTTCTTTTGTTGTCACCTGTTGCAGGTATGTAAAGCTCTTGCCTGATCCAAGTATGTTGGCAGAGTTTACAGGAGGGCCTGTTCCTTGAGATGAAAAAAGAAACTTATTTGGGGGATTTACTTGGAAAAAATAAAAATATCTGGTCAGCCCCTGGGGGCTTGGTTCATACACAGATACATCTCTTTGCATAGCTCTTGCTATGTGAGACCAGAAAGATGGTCCAGTAGGGAAGAACAATGCCTGCAAAAAGAAGTGTCATTCTAATTAAGAACCACTCTGCCATGTTGGAGTTAGCTTAGGCTATAGTGAAAAAGTTTTCTGCTCAAAAGTGCTGCTTCCATGATTGTTTCCAGGACTGCTGTATGAACCTAACGTAGATAAAGCTGTAACACTGATGTGGTATGGACATACGCTTGCCTGCTGTCTTTTCCAACTCAGAGTACTGTATTACTACAACAGCAAAATAAGGCAGACCCGCTCTGAGTTTGGGAAACACTTTTAATGTGTTACTGTATCTTGACTTAGAACAACAGTACTGAAGATTTTTGGTGTTTGAAATTCTGAATCTATATACATATATTTAAATATGTTTAAAAATGGGGTGTGTGGGAGTTAAAGTACTTCAAAAAGAGTGGAGAGCACTTAGTGTAAGGAAGGCTCTCAGGGTTGTGATTAAGTGATCTGTGAGCACCAATGAAGCAGAGAGCAGGTTATGGTCACATGGCCTGTTAGCTGACTGCAGAACCACTTGGGCACCAGGCTGCAGATGTGAAGATAAGCCAGGCTGCAAGGGGAAGATGAAGTCTGTGTGTCTGAGCATGGGCTTCTTATTTAACTTCATGTAACATTTAACCTTATTTAACTGCGGATTAGTGTGCTCCTGCTATGTCTGTATATTTTGTCTCTTTAGTATTGCTAGGGTAAGAGCAACTTTTTTTTTTTTTCCTAAGTACTAAACTAGCACTATTTAAGTAGATCTTTATTTGAAACTAGAGGTAAAACTTGTGCGCTCCTGGGAGTGGTACCAAAAATTCTCGAAGTTGTTGTCTGTGCACAGTGTAGTGTGTTTTTTTTATTTTTTTTATTTTTTAACCTCTGTTGTGTTTTGTAATTAAACGGTAGAGTCTCTTTGTCTCTGTTTATAAAAATAAAGTAAGGTTGAAATATAAGTTCACCTTGAGCGTTTTCCCTCTGTTTCATGGCGCCCCTCGGAGATGCGGAGGGGCCTGGCCTTTTTCCTG